GAAAACCAACCTGAAAAAATGTACTTGAATTAAATATTTTCGTGCTTTTAACGACGTTGAAATTTCTTTTTATAACCCTTTTACTATAAATAACGAAATTTAGAAAAATCCAAGCTAAACTGTTTAAAGTGTCACGTTTGGTTATTTTTTCACCTCACTCTGAAATAATGCAGATCAATTCACTGGGTGAATTGTTTATGTCAGGAAAGATGTTTGTTTATGATTCATATGGGTACGATGTTTGATTTGTTTGTATGCTTGATCATGACTTCATTACTCATTACTTTAACTCATAAAGCATGATAAAAATAACACGTTTACATCACATATGTAACACTTCCGTTTAATATTGTTGTGGGCGAAGCCAATGACACATAAAATCAACACTCTGATTAACAATGGTGGCTAGCTGTATATCAAATCATTTAAACGCTTGTTTAAATGCTTGAGACAAAATGTTTTATTTATACTTTTGTTTACCTTTCATATGAAATTGAAAACATTCTCACATATTCTAAACAAAATGTTTTGTAACACCTTTCCTTACACTTACCAAAGGTCATATTTTTAAAGTCATATGTGTATTATTTTTAATAAGCTATATATCCTTATCACTGTAAAAAAATTAATTAAGTCACAAATTTACCCAAACAACTTCTGAATAAGATATGATTGCCAGTAAGTAGCATTATCAAGCAATTATGGAAAATTGACTTACTTAGTTTTATCTGATTCCAGTAACTTCACACAGAGCTACTGATTTTTAAGTAATAATCATAACAAGAATTTGATATGAGGTTCTGGGTAATGTGATAAACACTGCCTTCACCATGGAATTGCAAGAACATTTTTGTGCAAGGCTTACTGATCTTTAGCCAAGAGTAGAAATCACAGCTTTGAGTGTTTTGCATTAAGTATTGATGCCCACAATCCTCGGTTTATTATTGATAAATCTGGAGATTGGGGATCCACAAGTTTGTGTCAAATTTCAGAGAAAATCTATGAAATTGTCAGGTATAATGTTTCTTCACTTTGACTTATTCTTGTTTTACATGTATATTTAATTGGGATCTTTTACAAGCTATTTGAAACGATCAGTCAGTGATAATTCTATCTCCTATACCTTGACTCTTGCTGTTTAAAAAATCATAGGATGGTTCAACGTTTGAGCCTTGAGAGTAGCAGTGTTGTCATATTTCTGTAAATCTTTTCGGAATAGATAAATATGTAATAACTTTCCTTGTCAATGCTTGAAAACACTTTGTTAAATAATTATGGTACTTGGTATGTTGGCTTTCTCTGAAAGACTTAGGGAAGAATTGAAATTGAATGATTGATATTCTGGTACTATATACTATTGTAAAATATTTGATGAATATTGGTTTGTGAATCTGGTGGTATGCAAGGGTAATGATATCTGTAGGGAAAGGGTGTCATTTCATGCTCTGTATAGAATTTCAGACAAAGGTGATCAGTGCAGAGAACCTGAGTTTCACACTGGACAATTTATGGTGATTTAGGGCTTCCCAAATTCCTCTTTTGTCATTAAAGAGACAAGTCAAGGCAGGGTGTGTAGGTAAAAGGGCCTGAGAAGATTGTTATTGAAAATTATATCCCTGATAGAATCGAGAAGGATTGTCGGGACTCTTTCTTCGTGTTGGTTTTCAAGGAGTGAAGGTCTCTTTTTACAAGTGCGTGAGGCGGGAATCGTTATTTTTGTGTTCATGAACCGGAAAATGTTTATGTTGGTATGACTGTGCTGACTTAAGACAGTTTATGAGCGGAATTAGGTGGAAGATTGTAATCGCTTTCACAAAAGTCGACAACCTACCCGTCAGATTAGTCCTAACACAGTGTGTCCCAGTGTAGAGTAATGGATGAAAATTGCTTTAAATTGCATCAGAGATGTGGCAGTGTGTGAGTCTATCCCAGTGTATCAGGGAGCAGAGTACAGACACGTGTACATGCAGGGAGAATTTCTGTTTTGAATAATTCATGTTCAAGGGGACTGTTGTTACCAGTTTGGTTGTCTGCCTGGCGTCTTCAAAACCAGATCAAGTGTATTATCACTCAAGTTCATCTGTCTGTCTTGAGACATGTGGAAAATTTCAAACCAGACACTTGCTGCATGGCTCCATTTCAAAATAGTCCTGGTTTGTTATAGGCCTGATACCACCTTCCGAACACAAGGTTAACAAAAGTTATTGCATCTTGTCAAAGAAATTCCTCATTTCCCACTCCACCAGACATGATTGAGAGTTTGTAAAACTGGAATATCATTGGTCGACTTCTGTCTCTTTTCCCCCCAACCTGACTGACGGCTTTGTCTAATCTGTTCAGATAATTCTACCTGATTCTACAGATACTACCAGCTCAACTGAGGTATTAGCCCTCCAAATTGTTTCCATATCATTCTAGTAACTGGTTCAGCGATCATTAAGTCTCGATAATGGCTGCCACCTAATCCTTCTCGTCTGTCCACCTATTCATATCTTTAACACGTCTTACGACACCAAGCTTCGATAAGATACATCGGCCTTATTAGACAAGCCTTGTAAAGACGTAGGTATAATGTCTACTCAAGGGGCAGGTATTGTGTAGGGAGTCGCCTCCCTTGGCCTCCTGTGGCTTTGCCCACCAGGCTGTCTTTGTGGTCACCGTCTGCGACACCCACTCACAGTTGAACCTTTCACTGTAAGGACATCTTGAGCATTTGTCGATGGCCAGATATTTTGGCAACCTCTGAACTATAGAGGGTGACAGATTATCTTCGTAGTAAAGCTTATCCACCCCCTGTGGGCTTTTGAACTTGGGCAGACATGGAAAACTATACAATAAATTGCCCTTTATTTTGTGGTCACAATTTAGGTGATTTAAAGAACTGATGGTCATGAGTGTGGACACATGTTGTGTACAAGGACTACTGTTAACACTGACATCACATGGTTGGTAGATTTTGTTTTGGTTATTTCTTCTGGGCAAATCCATTCTTTAAAAAAATGGCCTTGATGAAACTATTTTGGCTAAAATACTTAGCAAATGAGTAGTTTGACATTGAGAAAACAATATCGAAAAACTATTTCATTACTATATTACCTCAAAACACTATCATTATGTTTATATGTTTTTACTGTTTAGTTGAAAGAAAACATTCATTTCAAATGTCCTTGTTAATTGTGTATAATCAGGAATCTTTTCCCCAAGAAGCTAGGAAACTCCTTTTAATAAGGAGTTTAACCAGATATTGTATGCTTTCAATTGTACTTTGTTTTGGATCAAGGAAGTTAGCCTGGGAATTTCAATTTCATTACTGTAAGTGAAATTCAAAGTGATGGGAAATCAATACAGTGACCTTTGCAACCATTGTCTTGTGTCGTCAGATGTATTTTGACATGAGAGCCAAAAAATTTTTAAGCAGACACTTAAAATCACATTCTAACTGAGTGCAGGTACAACAGTTTGCTGACTGTAATTGGGTCAGGGTGTTATAGGCAGGTGTTAATGATGTACTAATTAGGACAGACTGATGACTTGAGGTGTGAGAACGAATGTCAGACCCTTGTCTCAAAAATAATTAGCTTGTAGTGTAAGTAAATACTACTCAACCTTAATTACACAATTTGAAACTTAATTGCAATTTGACAGGTGAGATCAGTTCTTTCATTCAAATAACCAAAATGATCCATAAATAGCCCAGACAGTAAAACTAACATCCCAAACATATTGAAATTGTTAAAGATGTAATTAAAATAATATGTTTAAGATTATATTCTCTTCTTCATGTCCATGAACTGTTTAGCTCTTATGAGTGATTATATCATTGCATGCGGAACGCAGTAAAAGAAAGAAATCTAGATTGGTTCATTTCAATAGCACTCCTGTTCACAGGTTAAGAATGTGTAACATTGTAGCTTATTATGATCACTCATGTCCATTCCTCTCTGATAATATTACTGCATCAATTAGCAGTGTTATTCACACCACTTAACAGGTAGTCTACTTGCTAATTAATTGTCAAAGCCATCATGTAGTATCATTTACCTGGATAGCAAGTCAGGTGACAGAAGCTGTTTCTACGTCACTTTGATGTCGTTACAGGTAGCTAAACTGTTAAAACAACAACGTCATGGCTTGCCAGTCAGGGTAGATTAGGTCTTGAACACTTCTCACTTTCTCTGAAAGAGCTGCTATTAATTGTTATGACAGTACTAAATGCCCTTCTTACACGAGCTGTTTGTTAAGAAAACATACTTGGAGTGGTCACTATAAAATCTATTGTCTCTGAAACCCAAGTTTGGACTACAATAAGAGAGCAATAATGGCCCAGCCTGTTTATTGCATTAGGCCAATCTAACACCAGTTCCCTATCGGCGGCCGCTACTGTTAGAGGCGTAACGACAGGCTTGAGTGCTTTAAATCTCAGCTGTAAATATTGGGGTAGGACCGTAGGCTACATCATTCAATAGTGTGGGGGCATTTGTGGAGGCTTCTCTCAACATCCCAGGGACAATTTGGCAGAATTTGGTGGAGTTATTGCAATATATTTCAATGCTGCAATTCATTTGGCATGTAAGACTTAAATTGCTATACTGCATGAGGAGTTTTTTGTCAGTTTGGATTGATTTATACTGTTTTTATTCATTTATGTGTGTGTAATTGTATTTATTCATCCTTTTTGCCAGCTTGATCAAGTTTCAGATTTTGTCTGGCCAAATTATTTGATCATGTTAGGATGCTGTATACAGGCTTAGGTTCTAATGGGAGAGGGAAATTGGTTTACACTACAAATGTTTTCAATTGTGTTATATTATTTAATCCATGCGTGTGTGTCTGTCTTTCTGTGTGTGTGTGTGTGTGTGTCTGTGTCTCTGTTCAAGAAATCTTTTGGAAATTTTGGACATGTTAGATTAAATTTCTAACCTGGTTTTTTAAAAATTTAATTTGAGAAAAAAATTGTTTATGCTGTTCATGATTTTAATTCAATTTTCATTTGCTTTCAGATTCAAGATTTGTAGATAACCACAGTGTGACTGACAGCATTTGAATGAAAGCGACAGACATAATGATCAACAACTTGCAACATTCTTGACAGCTTTTCTACATTACATTTGAAGATATTCACCTCAAGTTAAATCACAAAGCAGCAAGATGGTTTCCATGGCAACACTTATTCCACTTGCTTTTCTACTTCCTGTCTTGTGCCCAGCTCAAGAGGTGGTTCTGTCGTACAGACTCAAGGAGGAGCAATCAGCAAACACCTTTGTCGGTAATGTGGCCCGAGACAGTTATTTGTATGGCAATGTTACTGAGAGTGTATTTCAGAGGCTAAAATTCAACTTCTTCTCTCAGGGAAACCCATCTTCCAGACTTTTTGAAATTGACGAAAAGAGCAGTACAATTCGGACGGCACAAGTGATTGACCGGGAAGCACCTGATGTCTGCGAGGGCAAGGCAGAGTGTATTCTGAACCTAGACATTGCTGTGTACATCCGAGACGTGTCAAAAAATAGGTATGACCTCTATAAACTGATGCAGGCAAAGGTTGATTTAGTGGATATTAACGACAACAAACCTGAATTTCCCCAGGGTTCCGTCAGTCTCAGCTTACCCGAATCGGTTCCGGTTAATCATATGTTATTGGCAAGTGGTGCGATTGATAAGGATACTGGAGCCAATAATTCAATTAAGAGTTATGAAATTATTCCTGTAAATGGGATGTTTGATCTCAAGGTACAACATAATTTCGGAACGTCTGATCTTGGAATTGTCGTTAAACATAGTCTAGACCGTGAGACCAAAGACTTCTTTCAAGTGACCATTGTAGCTAAAGATGGAGGGTACCCTCAGCGGACTGGATCAGTGTTGATTAATATTACCGTCACCGACGTCAACGACAACAGCCCAGCGTTTATCGAGTCAACTTATAACGTGACTGTCATCGAAAACGGCACTGTCAATGCCACAATTCTCCAACTGTCTGCAGTTGACCAGGACAAAGGAGCAAATGGCGAAATTTCATATCATTTGAGTTCGCGGGCCTCTGACAAAGTTCGTAAAGCCCTCGCTATTGACCCCGCTTCCGGTAAGGTGTACACAATAGGCGATATTGATTATGAAGAGAACAAGCAATTCCAGTTCATGGTTGAGGCCAGGGATAAAGGATCACCATCTCGGTCCTCGTTAGTTCCTGTTGTTATTAATGTTATTGATAAAAATGATAACAAACCAGAAATAAACATTAACTTGTCCCCAGAAGGATCCGATATTTCGGAAGGAGCAGAAACAGGCAGGTTTATAGCTCATGTGTCTGTTACTGATAGAGATGATGGCAAAAATGGAGATTTTACGTGCGATATGAATGATGCCCACTTTTCTCTTGATAAATTTAACGCAAATGTGAATAATGTGTACAAGATAAGCCTGAAAGAAAAACTGGACCATGAAAGCTCCCCAACGCATAATGTCACCATCACCTGTAAAGACAAGGGAGATAACCCTCAGACAAACTCAACTAGCTTCCTGGTGAGAGTTCTTGATGAAAATGACAATGCACCCATGTTTAATAATGTACCAATTATTGGGCAAATTGTGGAAAATAACAAGCTTGGTATGGAGATTCTGCAAATAACTGCTAAAGACTGGGACAGCAAGGAGAACGGGAGAGTGACATATTCTTTAGACAGTGACGCTGGGTCCATGTTCACAATTAACCCTGGGACTGGTTCTTTGCTCGCCACTGCACCATACGATAGAGAAACTGTGTCAAAATATGAATTTGGTGTGATAGCCACTGATCATGGTTCCCCTCCCAAATCATCAACAGCCAAAGTCCTGATTCGGATTCTGGATCAGAATGACAAGCCTCCCAGGTTTACTGTACCAGTGTTCCGAGGATATATTCTGGAGAATCAGCCGATCAGAACACCAGTTCTGAATCTGACTGCCACGGATGAGGATGAGAAACCTAATATGAAGTTTGCATTTGCGCCAAACTCGGATGTGAATAAATGGTTTGCTATTGACGAAAACAGTGGAAGAATCACAAGCAAGCGTTCATTCGATCGGGAAACTCAGAAAAAGTATAACTTCACTGTGATTGTTCAAGATCCCATGATAACCAGTTTTCATGATACAGCTCATGTAACGATTCATGTTCGAGATGACAATGACAACATCCCGATCATCACATACCCCACCAAGTCGAACAAGACTGTGCGTATTCCCTATGGAACAAAGGTGGGAACGATTGTCACTAAAGTAACTGCCAAAGACACAGATGACATCGACATCCAATTCATAAGATTAACCTTTTCAATCATATCTGGCAACAAAGGAAGTTTGTTTAATATAAACCAAATGAATGGTGAATTGGCAGTTTCTCGTGTGATGAAATTGTCAGATTTAGGATTTCACGGACTAAAGGTTGCTGTTCATGACAGTGGCACAAATTCCAAGTCGGCCACTGCAACCTTGGACATCTTTGTCGTCGATGTCAACGGCACGGCTAGGAATGATGGTCATTCTGAAGTACTTGAAAAAAATATGATGATTGTGATTATATTGATAGCAGTGACAGTTATATTAGCAATTGCAATTTTTGCAACAATATGCATGATTCGCAGAATTGACAGAGAGCGCCAGCAAAGACGATCAGCTATGATCAAAACAGATGAGGACAAAACATTAACAGCAATATCAAACAGAGACAGTTTTTTAGTCATAGCCAAAGACTCAAATGAGAATGATGACGCAAAGTTAAAACGGAATAAAAAAGAAGTTAGTTTTACATTTGAGGATGATCGAGATATACACAACATGAGCAATTCCTCTGGCCATGCGTCGATGTCAACATTTGGAGTTCCAGCACCGACAGAACATTCCCAATCGGTATGTATAATTAGTCGGAACATCGATTTGTCTGTAATTTTACAATTAGTCACTGCTAACACCTGTGTCTGGAGCTCGTAGCTTTGCTCTTCAACACGGTTAAAATCCTATGGGATTTGTGTTTTTTCAAACCTGTTGCTTATTTCTTAAGCTGTCAATATCAAATTTTACAGATGGTGTCTGTTTCAAATAATGTATTCAATTATCAAGCTGCCAGTTGAAAATTCTAAAGTTTGAAACAACCTAGTAATATTTTTTAGTAGCGATTATGAGTTCACAGACAATATGTCGAAACAGACACAAGAATATTTCAACTGAGAAATTATTGTTGACTTCATTTACTTGCCATGTGACATTTCTCCATTTTTAATAACGGAAGAAAAGCTATAAACAGCTGGTAGTCAGGCTTGTCATACATAAGTTCAATTTAAATTGTATATTTACTTTAAAAGCTAATTCTGTGGAACCTGTTCAGAGTAATTCAATTGAACAAATCAAATCGGAAACCTTCTTCATGTGTATTCAACTTACTCCAAAAACAGCACTGTACAATTGATTAACTGCAGATTGAAACTGTAGCGGTTTATTTCAACAACAAGAACTTAATTTCAAAGTATTGACTTAAACTTTTGAAACACTGAAGAAACAATTTCTACCTTCTCTGAAAAGAATATTTTGTCTTCAAAAGAGAAGACGTCTTGCATGGCATTGATTAGTTTATAAACGACAAACATCAAAGTTTAGGAAAGTTTATTTGACTCAGTTCTTTTCAAAGGTATCAGTGCTTTTACTCAAAATCAGATGATTGCAAACAATATATTTTGATAAAAATGTCTTGCTGATAACATGATTAACAATTATGTTGAGAGACTTGTGAGCAAATGGAGGTAGATTTTCCTCTTCCAGTAGAAGATATATTTTGTTCTTTCCTACCTTCACAGTATGCTAGATGGCAGCACTGTATATTTACATACATTCTTGGTTGCGTTTTACCAGAATTCTCAGGAGGTGAATCTCATGATGACCCCTATCCCTTCACTGGTTGAGAAACAAAACAACATGAACAGCCCTGGTGCTCACGAACCTTCTAACATTCCAGTACAAAACAATATCCCGGTGACGCCACACCCTACTGATAAAACCTGGATACAAAATATGAATGAAACTGAGGTAGGACTAAGTCAGTGATAAAGAACAAAAATAATCATCGTCCATTTACAGTAACTATGTTAGGCTAAAATAAAACTGGTTCTCGGGCACATTATCAAAATTGTTGAGGGGCATTTTTGTATTTAGATGTGGAAAAATGAACTATTTATTAATTTATGTGTCGTGAAGCAGATGTGCTTGGTTGTTTTTGCTGATAATGAAATGCCTGAAAACTAACAAGTGTTTTTAGCCTAACATTGATACTGGTTAGATGTAACTTGGAGGTAAAATTGTGAAACTCATTTCAGTACTTTTGTGTTCTAAGTTGTGTGTTAAAAGATGAAACAAATATTTTTATTTGTTGAATGGTTGAGTATTTATACGTTTTGTGTGAATTAGTGTTGATAATACCAGTAGTTGATTTTACAAATCAAATATATATAGTTGTACCTTGACACTGAAGAATGTTTGATTCTGATTGGTCAAAATAACATTAGAATTGGGTATCTAATTGTATTTAATACCTCAAAATTAATAAGCCTTTTCACACACAATCTTGTGTGTACAAAAGAATAATGTTTTTAAAAGAAATTTGATATCATGGTTGAATTGTGGGATATCTAATCTAGTTAGACTACCAGAATGTTCAAAACAATGTAGCTTTACTCCTAATAAGATAAATCAAATATTGAAATAAACTGTCATGTTTCAGAATGTTGATTTCGCAATGGGAAAATGTAGTTGATATATTGTGCCGTGACTGTTTCTAAAGTATTCATTTTCAATTTCAGGCTCGGCATTTAATGGAGATATTAAAGAAACCAGACGATATTATGAGTGAAACTTCAGGGGAGACCGGCACTAGTGACAGTGGTCGCGGTGGAAGCGATGAAGATATAAACAGCAATAGAAGTGCTACACATGATATAGGTAAGACTATTTTCCTAATGACTGTTAACCAGTTTGATAGACCTCAAACGGCATATTGATGAGAATTTGTGGGTGAATTCACTAAGTCATGAAGGAATTGTTAAAGGATAACATCTCAAAGTTTAGATTTTATGTTTTGCTAAAACTGGTTGTTGTTTGGTGAAGTTCAGAAAGCTGTAAAATCACAGATACACCAGAAATACAAAATCAATAAAGTCATTGTCTCCCTTTGGTCTATGATCATGTTCTTTGAAACATGGAAAAAATGTCTACTTGAGGACCAAATTGAACAAAAAATGGAAACAAATAGGAAGTAACACAGCATTACAACTTGTTTGATGCATTTTTTTATTCATGACTTAAAAATCATCTAGTTCAAGTATGTATTTATACTTAATAAAATCTCTTGATGGCAAGTGGCCTGATTGTCAACCATATAATTTTCAAAGGACTGTCCAGTATGATTATAGCTTGAAGTTGTTGGCAATTGACAAGACTGACATGAAAAGTGGCTTGCATGTTGTCACCCACAGGGATAGGATAAATATTTACTTTGATAAGAAACTATCTTTTAGAAGGATGAATAAAAATGTTCTGTTCAAGCAGTGTTAGCTTATGGATAAGTTTGAAGGGAATTTTGCATTCAAGATTTTGAATAGGATAGCTGACCATTTGGAAGCAAAACTTCAGTATTGTCATAAACAATGATCTGAAAAGATATCAACGCTAAAAGAACCTTTTCAACATTTCATGGTCCAATTATACGCTTATTTCACTCGAAGAAAAGAAAATTGTCCATTTATGGGCTTTGAAAAAGTAGGTTCTTCCTCTTCGGTTGAGAGGGCAGTGGATGATTTTAAGAGCGGTGACATCTCTTTGAATCTCCAGTACAGTAATATTGATAACATCATGACCGCAGGTAGTAGTGAATCGTTGTTAGAGGCGCCCTCTAGTGCCTGTCACAGTCCGTGTCACTCACAACCCACATGGCCACTTAATCTGACATATTTCCTTGAATTATCATAAAACATAAACAGGCTTCTGATTACTGAGATTTTAGTGTTTGGTGCAGTGTCATTCTTGTTGTAATGTTAGGAAGCTTTGAAAGGCAGCAGAGATGTTTAAGAATTGACTTCGATATATTTTGTGCTTATAATACCTCCATGAATAAATATTTTTTAGTCATTTCTTATACCGAAGTAAATAAATATTTCAACAATAATAACATACTGCATATTTATTCATAAACACACAAACAACTGTAGACAATATGAAATTGTTGACATTATTATGCAACGTAATCCCTGCCCTTTTTATTATCAACCACCAGTAGTCTGTATTGTTTTGAGGGGATGGAAACTTAAAAAAAGTAATTGCTTGGTTAACCAATCAAAAGCCAGGGAACATATTCTGTTGCTCAAAACAGAATTATCAAATCTTGAAATTATGTAAAGCTTAAATTGATTTTTAGATATTGTTGCAATAAACAGCAGTTTTATTCTATACAAAGATAGTACAACTTGTACGAATAACACGCGAGATTGTGTTTCGCCTATAACACTAACATTTGCACAACATGTGAAGGGGTATATTTACGTTTTTGATTAGAACATTCCATTGAGATGAAACATAGACCTTTAGCAATGAATGGATGTCAAGTTGATATACACAATCGGAGGACTCTCAAGTGACAAAGTTAGAACTTGTTTACAAAACTCAAGGACCGTAGTCTCTTCCCTATCTTAAAGTTTTGTCGGACAACCCTCAAGTTTGGATCCATGTCAATTTCGTGCAAACAAAATTTATTTTATCACAGTTACAAAGACTAACATGTACCAAGCGTGCTGAAATGGGAGATTATGGTACAAAAACAAGAAAACTTCGATACAAATTGTAAACACAAGGCTATCCACTGATTGAACTTCAAGTGTAACACAGTTATCTCAGCATGAATGGAGATATCAAAATATCTCAAGGCTTTTCAGTGACAAATATTTATTATCCCAAACGTGGTGATTAGGCAATGGCAGTTTCAAGCCTGAGTCTAGAATCACCTTGGGGAAAGCTTGCGAGTTCCTGGCATATTGGTTTTAGATTAATGCCATTAGGGAGGCAAATTTCATGGGTATTTTGTGAGTTAGTGATAAAGTCAGAGATAGGTTATCTGCAGATATGTCAGAAAGCCTGGTAATGTTTCCCCACGGGAGTGGAAGTTTGATGTGTGTGGCTCCCAATGCTGTAATGATTATTTAAGTTTTCTCAAGGAAGCTCTGAGGTATTAAAGACATCACCAAAGTGCTTTTCAAAAATTAGCATATATCTTTTTAGTTTGTGATAAATTTGAAAATTTACAAATATGACACGATATTTTTCTTAAAATTTATCATCCTTAGTATGGACATGTTTAAAACATTTCTAACTAAAATATATTCACCAGAAAAGCTTTTAGGGCATACAAATCGAAAACAGAGGTTATATTTTATTGGCATGTAAATTTAGAAATGGCCTAGACCATAGATTACACAGCATAATTCAAGTCAGACTGTGTATATACTTGAATGTAATGACAGGCTTTCAAAATTTCAAGTCTACAGTACTCGTAGGGATCAGTTAAGATGGAAAGATGTTCTCATCTGAAGAGAAAAGCCCTCAAGGTCTCGAAGGCCTCAGTGGAGGTAGGTTAGGGCACTTGAGTGAAAGAAGTGTGTAAACAGTCTAGAGTGAGCTCTTGGAAACGTCTGACATTGATACGGCCCACAGTTGCAGCTATAATACTCCACAGTCCAGATCCCGATGAAGTGGTGACGAGGATGTGCCTCAACAGTCAGACAGAAAAGTGACATTATGAAGAAAAATAGTTTCTGAGACGCTTCCAGTTAATCATATGTTATCTCTGTGTCATTTTGGCATTGATGTAGGATTTTTTTCCTGGGATAATTGTGAACAGGCTGGAACAAAAAACTGGCAGTTTCAAATGTTTGGGCGGAAAAGAGACTCAGAGAAAATTTTACATTTTGTCTGGAATAATGTTATTAAATCAGTGAAATTTGTCTTTTAAAAGTCCTGGCGAGTATGAAAATATAAGAGTTAATTCATAGTTTGAGACAACTGGAAGGCGGATAATGGACCTTTGTGTTGATAAGGATTCTCTAATGGCCTGTTTACTTTAGCTCTTTATCAACATTCCCAGGGTGAACATGATCTTAGTGTTTGTTGAATTTTAATTAACTATATTTACTACTTATTACCTAATAATATTGAAGTAAGAATTAAAATGATTGAAAAGGTCAAATGGACATAAATTGTTTTAACCAGACGAAAACATGTCCGAATATCTTTGTTTAAATCAGCTTTTTCTTTTTGAGAAAAGTTGATTTTTCTCTTAAACTCTAGATGCAATTTACCTCAGACAGAGTGGCACGTTTTTTTGACTAGATCTTTACATCAGACATGCATTTGCATAAGACTCAAAGGCCAATCCGTTTACAAAGACGTAATCAATGAGTGAAGGAAAATTATGAAATGTGGTTTAGGCAAACAGGTAGGAGAGTAAGTAAAGATTGTTGAGGAGAAGGGACTTTGGCAAAGATTTATTGGTCTGGATCCGTTTGTGCTCTAATAAAATAAGGGTTTGCTGTGAAACACTAGGTGATGTAGACTAACGCTGGAGCCCCCTTCAGTCAGAGTGACAGAGGGTAATGAAGGCCGTCGCTTCTATTGAAATTTACGCTGCTTGCACTTGTAGATATACAGAATTTGCATTTGACCCTAGTGGTTAAGGAAATTGGACGGTTTACTTAGGCTTGTGGATTTTGTTAATATTCGGAAGTAATGGAGACCAATTTCGCTTGTTTTCTTGCATGGAAAACCCCAGACGTACTTCATTATTCTCTAATAAGACTGAGAAATTGATGATTAAATGTTTTTCATGGACTGTCTGGAAAAGTAATGTTGGTATATCTCAACTTGAGTCCGGTACTGCTTGGTATGTGGAAAAACTCAACAGATTCTTGATATATGGTATATAATGTTAGGATTTGTGAATGTTTTTTCCATTAATATGATTAAAATTTGAGTAATATGTTATAAGAATCTGTCAAGTTTCTAAATTCAATTAAGTTGTAGCTTTATTGATGTATGTGTTTATGTTGACTGCTGTCCCTCTCGTCCAGATGAAGATTGTGTTATATTTATAAATCGGATCCATTAAGTAAAGACTGTGAGGGATTTTTCATGACAAATTTTCTAAATATTGTTTGGATAACGTTTAAAACTGATTGCTTGGGTCTAGGAACCTGTCAGCCATAGATGAAGCCACAATTGATTTGGGATTTATGTCTGATCATATTTGAGTTGTACGATTTATGGAGGTGGATTTGCAATGTCAAGCTTTGCATTAATCACAAGTGACTCTCACAATTCACTGAGTTCCTTTATAGACCACTGAAGCTGACCAGAAAGTAGACGTTTTTTGTTTGACCATATTTTCAAAATGTAGAATTATGTTTCAGAAAGTGTATGACTTGATTACTTACTGGATGAGGAATGTTTTTACATTAGAAGACTCACATTCAACATAATCAGATGAACGAAAAAGTTTCACTTTTGGTGTTTTCTGCAAAAGGATGAAAATAGACTATTTACTTGAAAACTTATAATGTACCTATAAATGAGTATTATTATAGTCAAAATAGATGTTAATTCTAAAAAGATGAATGTTAGATTCAGAATAACTTGTAGTTTGTAAAAGTAATTACAGAATATTTTGTACATCTAGCAAAAAATACGGTGGAATCTGCCCCATCAAAACCAATGGTAGTCAAACAGTGGTATGTATAGCCCTCCAACATGGGCTGCTGCCATAAGCATGGTAAGTTAGGCTTATTGCATGTTGATACTCACATTGTGCGTAGTTCCGCAGATTTACGTTTATTTCCGCCAATAGTTTGATCCTCCGCAGTGTATGTAGCATTTTGAGTGAGTGAATGAGTGAATGTTTCTTTACGCCACAGTCAGCAGTATCCCAGCTATTTCGTGGCAGCCTGTGAATATTAGTCTGTGCAAACAGTGGTTGATAGTCATGACATTTGATTTTGAAGTGAATTAGCTTGCTACTTTGATTAGAAGTTGTCCAAGGTGTTTGTTGTGATGAATTGCCTCTGTTTGTATTGAAGTAGCTTTTTGTTGTTGAGGTGAAGAAAAAAATTAGATATATTTCTTTCTTTTTTTTTCCAGTTCCTGATTATCTTTGATTGGTAATCAAGTTTTATTTAAATTGTTCCATACAATTAATCCAAATTAATCAATACTGTTGATTAAAACATGCCTTGCTTGATCATATATATGTTGTCAATATCTAGGATTGACAAATTTTGATTTGGTTGATATTAGCATCTATTGTTCATGCAATCCCCTCACTCACTCATTCATCAAGCACCTGTCAGTACCTATCAATCATAATCAATGTCATTGATAACAACATCATGAGTTTGCATGGTGTTTACTTGTGGTTGTTGTTGCCTGCTAGTGTTATTGTTTGTGGTTATTGATACATCAATGAAAACAAAATAAATAATTATGTTTGAGAATTTGAATAATCATAAGTTTTAATAATATTTTGGTATGTTTCAAAATTTGACATACACAATTAGTTAATAAATTGTTTGTAACAACTCTTATATATGTGAAAATATTATGATATAAGTTCAATATTTTCTTGAAGGGGAGGGAAAAAATCAACAAAATCCTGTAAAGCAACATGGTTATTAGAATCTTGATCACAGGCTTTCCTTGTTAGATGTCACAGATTTTTTTAAGGGTTAAGTTAATCCATTCTAATTTTGAATTTTGATTTCTGCAGATGATCCTCGTATTCTTCATCCAGCTCACTTCGTTGGAGCCGATCGTATCTCACGATTTAACGATGGCCGCATGTCCGAGTTGTCCCGGTCATCTCGCAGAAACGGATCACGTGGTCATGTTGTGTCCCCAATGCCCAGTGGAACAGGTAAACGCATTAGGGAGGAATCTTTGGATTATGGAAGGTCACACGACCTCCCCCAAAGCTACACGGCAAGCCCGTGTCATTTTGAACATTTTCCATCCCATAATATAGCCAAAGATTCCACATCCCGTAATTTGCAAGACGACGGTTACCATCGAATGGATCTTTCATCTTATCCTCCCAGACAAACAGACTTTTATTCAAGTGGGAGCTGGCGGGCCGATTCCATGAGTTACCGTGACGATGATGACAGAACGACAACATCCGGAAGCTATACAATTAATCCTGAGGAGCTGCGTCATGATATGGATGAAGTATTCTACACAGAACAGGATATTGTTGTGTAACTTCAGAATTACATTGATTCTAATGGATGTTAAGACATTCCGTCTGTCTGTGTGTCTGGTTGCCGCGGATACCGAAGAGTATATCCAACTGTCCATGGATGCCCTGTGAAAGCCTGTGAAAGCCAAAGATGCCTACTATTATGGAACAAGACTGGCGTCAGGAGCCACTCCAATCCTTTGTGTTAACAGACCTTCATCCGAAGATCAACAGCCTTATTGGAAACATGAAGTATTAATTGTGCCAATATATGACAAACTATTGCAAGACATTTGTTCTTGATGAACAAAAACATGCATCCCTGATATTTCCCACAGACAATGAACCGATCATGATTCCTTAAACGCCTACGACCACATTGACACTTTCGCAAATGCTCTATGCAAAGGTAGTTGAATAGCGTTCATCAGCAAAAGCTAGACCCTTGTTCGGTTGACACATTATATGTTGTACAGAGCTACCTTTCTGTTGCTTTTGTTGGACCAGTTTAGTTCTGAGCAGTCGTATCTATCACAAATACAGTGAAACCCTGCTAATCCGGAAACCTTGATAATCTGGAAACCCTGCTTATATGGACAATTGCTGATGGGAAAGTCCATATATTAATACAATATGTCCAGGATTCATTCATCTGGAATTGGTTAATCCAATGATTTATCTGAGAATGCTACTGTCCTGATTAATAGGGTTTCACTGTAGCTTTATTATCACAATCAACAAACGGAATTAACTTGTTAAGCAGGTGGGTTTTTAGCTTCCAAAATAAGTGGACAAAACAGCCAACGGCAGATGACAAAGTGGTGCTATATTGCGACCTTTAGGGTCAGACTTTTTTATATTCCCCATGGAATAATCTCCAAGTGGAGGTGTGCTCAGTCTCCCATGATACAGGGGACTACAGTTTTTTCGGACATGATTCAATATCATGCAAAAGTTTTTTTCTGAGATCATATCTCAGGCACTAAAAAAGGAGTTGTTTTGATAACAGTGCAAGCTGAAGTAATAGTGCTATATCTCCCGATACTTCAGAAACTGGTGATTAATTGTTGACAGGCTTCCACTAAAAGTCTCACGAAATGTCTCTCAAGATTTATTTTGATGTCTGTATTACTGCTTATGTGGTGATAATTACTGGTTAGAAATTGGATACAATTTCCATTGAACAAACTCTCAGACTTTAGGAGAGTGTTTGCGTTCATCTAGAGTAACTGTTGACAGGTTTCCTCAACACAACTATATTTTATTTCCTCATTTGGTGAATGTGTTTGTTTTGAAACCCAAATCAAACCAATTATGTTCTGTTTGTATATATATATCTTAAATTATTGATGGACATAATAAAATTTGAAATGTCTTCAGAATTATCAACATTTCTGTCTTATTTGATTAAAAATGAGACAATATTGTCAGATAAACATCTGGCATTAATCAACTTATTGGGACGACAATGGTTAGAGTTGAATAATTATGACAGTGTAAGATTAAGATCTTCATAAGGAGTCCCACACTGATCCATTTGTCAGTAATTTTAAACATTGTAAATTGAATAAATTTTATCACATTTCAAGGTCGGCTGGGTCACATGAGTGGGAGGCCCTTTGATCAAATCTCGATAAATGTTTATTGTTTAATGGCCACTGTCGGACCGGACATTAAGTTTGGACAATGGGATGGACACTCTGATCGTCATCTGTTATGGTTGTACTTGACCACAATGGAAGCAAAGTCCACGAAGACAAACTTTTGTTTGCTTGGTCAACCGCTGTAGTGACCATTATTGAATTTGTTCATGCAAAAGTGGCGATAAATGTGATGAAATTTAATGATTTTGTGGCCAATTAAAGCGTCTCACATCAGAAAATCTTAAACCGCCTCTGGAGTTTGATTTCTTTGGGGATTCACTTCTGATTAAATTGTGCACTGGTTGGAGTTATTAGACAATACAGAAATGTAATATTCCTAAACTGTTCCAATCCCTTTGTTCAAATTTGCCAATAGAAACAGCAAAGACCCTTTATGGATTTTACCAGCCATTATGTATTGGGTGATAACGCTTGGACAAGATTTAGTAGGCATATACAAGGCTCTAATAGCAGTGTCAGAGTGGAATCCACATTTGCAGGAATAAATCCATCCAGCACAAACATTAGATTAAATCTTGACAAATTTAATGAGAGTTGGTGGCAAGGGGCATGAAGTTTGAGCATTGGCCAAATATCGAGGGTTAAAAGCATGGGGTGAACATGTGACTTACTGGCAGAAAGTATCCACGATACCATCTTCATGTTTACTGCTTTTGTGGTCAGCTCCTCTTCTAAGGGTCAGTGAATTCAACAGTGTCAACTTCTTATTTGTGGGACCCAGCTGTTGGTACCGTTTAATATGGTTATTCCTAACATGTCCAAATTAGCTGCACTTTGTCTACGGAAATCTTCAAAAGAAGTGATTGGCATTTCAGAGTGAAATGAGAAAGGCTTATCTTTCAATGTCATTAGGAATTCAAGTTTGGGGATGTGTTTTTAAGTCATTTGTCATGAGTTTGTGTCTAATTAGGAAACAATGACCTTTTGTAGTTTGGAAAACTTGACTGTACATTGTGACATGTTAAAGGACTTCTGAAGAAACTTCTGTTTTGAAACATCGGAATTGCAGTACAACTGAGTTATTCTAACATCATTGGGTAGATAGAATGACACTATATCTTTGGGTATGAGTTTGAAATGGGTTCTTATATTATTAACAGATTAAAATGTTATTCAGTTTGGTATATAAATTAAGAAATTATTCTGTTGGTCACATTTTTACAAGTCATCATTTGGTGAACTGAAAAATGACATTTTAGAAGTTTAGAAGTTTGATCAATGGTTATTGGAGTACATATCAATAAAGTACATATTATTTGTGTTGAGGAAACATTGTCAATATCTACGAGGAATAATTCACCCCAATTATGTTTTTAGGTTTGTCAACATCATACCCGTGCTTGTGGGTTTCACCAAAGTGGTAAACGTCTGAGACTTGCATCACTTCGGGCTTTCCACCCACATTAAGCTGACACGCCGTGATATAACTTGAATATTGTTCAGAGGCGTTAAACCCAACTCACTCACTCCAGGAATAAAGTATTCCCCATCAGACTGCTCCTCTTGTAAATGTTTTGACAGAACTCATACTTGCTGATTACAAAGATGTACCGGTAATCATATACATGTATCCTGATACTGAATCAACATCCTCGTGTATGAAATGCAACCATCAGTTACATGTTTGTACCAGCAACGCTGCACTTGATTACAAGGAATATATGTTCTTCTTATGTATGAAATGCAACCATCAGTTACATGTTTGTACCAGCAACGCTGCACTTGATTACAAGGAATATATGTTCTTCTTACATCTGTCTCATTTTGTACATTTTGTAATATATTTGGACATATGTGAAATTGTACATGACCATATCGATGAATGAACGACAAGAGAACTGTTGATGAACAAAAGCATTTGCTGACCATGTTGTCTGAGAATATATGTTGTCATTCAAATTGTCTTTTTACATTTGCTATGTAAGTTAGACAGAAATATACGCAAACTGTACAGATTTATACATATTCTAGTCTTTTTATCAGTCTTAAAACCTTGCTTAAGTGTTCCGACAATCATGTAATAGTATATCACTGAAAATTGAAAGCCTAACGTCTAAGCAAGCATATTTAAGCAAGGTTTTCAGATTTGTATGACTTAACCAAGATATTGGTTAATGTAATATCGATAGTGCAATGTTAAAACATTCTTGATCATAGATATGATATTGACATAAGATACATGACGTCGGTCACCAACAGCAAGATATTTGAATATGTAAACTTTATGAAAAGGAAAAAGAATGAAATATTATTTCAGTGCTGGATTAAAGGTTCAGACATGTATTGTTTCACATTTTCTTTAACTCTTCTCTCATGACAGAAAAGGAATCAGAATCATTAAAATACTTCACTTTTGATAAGGATAATCAGAAATGTAATTCTATTATGTATACACTTGATATATTATGAAAATCAGTTTGTGTGTTATGGATAGATCAGAATATCCCTATCAAAAGTGGAGTAGTATATACTGTATTCGACGTAATAAGCGCCCCGCTCTTATAAGCGCCCATGGCGATATTTGCTAATATACTGGCAAGTGAACAATCCCAATTAGTACCCCTTAAAATTGATCAATGTACACAAGACTCATTTATTCGCGTATAATACGCACTTGTGTGTTATATGCACCCTTAATTATGGGCCATTAAATTCTGAAAAAAAATATCTGTCGTACATAAACATTTCAGGCCGTCAGCATAAACCACGAAATTTATCTTTCAGCTCTGGTTTTTTTCACCAAAATTATATTCTAATAAGAGCCCCCTATTCCTTATTTTGAGAACGCCCTGGGCGCTTATTACGTCAAATACGGTATGCATTTTAAACTGGAAGAACTGACATGCTGTTGGTGACCACGACATCATTAGGGTTTTACCTCAGAGTCTTCAATATATATCTGGGTACGTCTTGTAGCAGGTACTGCCTCCAGTTTTCTCCACTTTCCCAATGTTATTTATCAGATATTTTTTACCTCCCCGATGCCCCAGAATGATGCCATGGCAGATTCATTATAAATGAGCAAGTGTAGGCATGTCTTTCCGCAGCTAACTGAATTCCAGGTTCTATTTAGACCAGAAACACCTTTTTTAATCAATGAAAGAAAGTATTTCTTGATCACATCAAACTTAAAAAACTATGACAGAGACAAAACTGATGAAAAATTAGTTATTAGGCCAGACCATTTTGTTTTTGTCGTTAAAGGATTTTGGTCACAGTGCCAAGATACAGAGTTGCTATGAGGTTATTGCTTCCCTGAGAATAACAAATTACAAACACAATATTCAAAATTAGCATATTTAGCAAATACTTAAATTATTTCTGATTTATTATAAGGGGTGGAAACTATCCTAACCTGAATCAAATGACAACTTTTTGCGTAATATTTTTTAAAATTTTCCTTAAGTGACTAACAAGGTTTTTAAGTTGCCTCTGTTGATCACTGCAGTTTTGTGTCTGTTTCTGTGTACTTTGGTATTAAGTAACTGCTAGTGATTTACATGAAATAGGAGTTAACAGACAAATGGGGTTTTAGCAACCCGAATCAAATTCGCCATGACTGCCCCAATCCCAGAGCCTGTCCCCCCTTTAATACCTGACATAACAGAGTTGCCGAAGTCGGGAGACTGGAAGGCGATGAGAACAATGGAGGCAGCCTGTGACTACCTCAGATGTGTGCTGTCTGTCGCTGCCGTCTGAATGCAGAATGCTGTTGTATGCGTATCACAGGTCCTGGCACTGTGTGGTTATCAGAGCTGTATATGTATTTATTTTCTCATATGAATAAACCACAAATATCAGTACAACACTGGCTCTGTTTTCTTCAATTGTTTAGATGTTCATTTGAATATACATAATACTTACAGTGGGTCTTGACCAGAGTGAATATACATAACAGTTAAAGGGGGTCTTATACCGGAGTGAATATACATAACAGTTAAAGGGGTCTTCTACCAGAGTGAATATACATAACAGTTAAAGGGGGTATTATACCAGAGTGAATATACATAACAGTAAAAGAGGTCTTCTACCAGAGTGAATATACATAACAGTTAAAGGGGTCTTCTACCAGAGTGAATATGCATAACAGTTAAAGGCGGTCTTATACCGGAGTGAATATACATAACAGTAAAAGAGGTCTTCTACAAGAGTGAATATACATAACAGCTAAAGGGGTCTTCAACCAGAATGAATATACATAACAGTTAAAGGGGGTCTTCTACCAGAGTGAATATACATAACAGTTAAAGGGGTCTTCTACCAGAATGAATATACACAACAGTTAAAGGGGGTCTTCTACCAGATTGAATATACATAACAGTTAAAGGGGGTTTTCTACCAGAGCGAATATACATAACAGTTAAAGGGGTCTTCTACCAGAGTGAATATACATAACAGTTAAAGGGGGTCTTCTACCAGAGTGAATATACATAACAGTTAAAGGGGTCTTCTACCAGAGTGAATATACATAACAGTTAAAGGGGTCTTCTACCAGAGTGAATATACATAACAGTTAAAGGGGGTCTTCTACCAGAGTGAATATACATAACAGTTAAAGGGGTCTTCTACCAGAGTGAATATACATAACAGTTAAAGGGGGTCTTCTACCAGAGTGAATATACATAACAGTTAAAGGGGGTCTTCTACCAGAGTGAATATACATAACAGTTAAAGGGGTCTTCTACCAGAGTGAATATACATAACAGTTAAAGGAGTCTTCTACCAGAGTGAATATACATAACAGATAAAGGGGTCTTCTACCAGAGTGAATATACATAACAGTTAGGGGGGTCTTCTACCAGAGTGAATATACATAACAGTTAAAGGGGTCTTCTACCAGAGTGAATATACATAGCAGTTAAAGGGGGTCTTCTACCAGAGTTGACCAATTACATCATTGAAATATTGTTGAATATTTCATCAAGAAATGTTTTGCGTCTGCTCATACACAAATCAACAACCAATCAAAATACCTCTTCTGAATGTCAGTTGGGCACAGATCTACATTTAAGACACTGCCTCACTCGAATGAGCCTAAGAAGTAAGATTTATTGAATCAGCAGACGGTTCAATATTAACTGTTAGCTGGAAAAGATATTCACAAGAGTATTAACAATGGAAAGAAATCCTATTACTGCAATAGGGGCGGTCGGGTAACCGAGTGGTTAAAGCGTTCACTCGTCACGCCGAAGACCCTGGTTCGATTCCCGACATGGGTACAATGCAATGTGTGAAACCAATTTCTGGTGTCCCCTGCCGTGATATTGCTGGAATATTGATAAAAGCTGCGTAAAATCAAACTCATTCACTAATACTGCAATACATTCCTAGTTATGTTTGAGACAGTAACCAACAAGGAGAAGCTTCTTGTTTCAAATATGAAAGAACTTTAATTGCTAGAGAATAACCAAATCTATCGGCTAATCCCGTAATGTTCCGGATCACGTGAGCACACGTAATCCCTCCATTACTCTGGATTAGCTGATAGAACTTCAGTCAAACTTCAACTTACAGGTAAGTCTCGTTTAACTTCATAATTATCCAACAAAAGAGATTCCACCAGGCGTAAAAGGCAAATGGAAGTGAAAATTATATGAATGGATCACTGAAAATCAGTGATGACACCAGGTGTTCACCAAACAGGAAGTTTTAGAGACATGTGTTTGCAACATGAACACACTAATTTTCAAAGATCCATTCATATAAGTTTCACTGCTACTTTACCTATTGCATATAGTACCTGTTATCAGAGCTCCAGATAAGCTTTTGGTGTTGTGGGTATTTTACCCATGCATTTTAAAATCACTGGGTATCAGTAATTCTATCTGCGTATTCAAATTTCTGTTACCCACTAGTTTTTACACATGTGGGTATTTAAGTTAAATATTTAAAAACACTATTCATCTAGTCCCTGCAAACTGGTGGGTTTGAGAGCTTTATAGGACTCAAAAATACCACGATACTTCCACAGGAAAGTGTGATGGCAAATGATCATGATGTGACTGTCATCGTGGAGTTTGGCAAGGTTGACGGAATGCCCGTTTATAATTTCAAAATAAGTTGCTGATTTGCTAATCGAATACGCAGGGTTACTTCACAATATTTTGATGATACACACAAAATCTGTTTTTGTAGCGTATCTGTAATGTTCGTTGCATATTTGATACGCTTGGATTATTTTTTACTGCGTATTTCTGTATTTCTGATGCGTATTTCATGCAGATACGCAGCTTATCTGCAGCTCTGTGTTATATGCATATCATAAGAGGCGACCAATGGAACAGGGGGTCAGGCTCGCTGACTTAGTTAATGCATGTCATCCATCACAATTATGTGAATCGTTTGATAGGCATTACTTAGAAGTTGACGGATGACAAGATAGACACAATTTTTATGGAAAACAACTTCTTTAATACTGGGATAAAGCGACATTTTGGTATAGATCCTTATACCGTTGTCAAGCAAGACTGAATGAGGGACATAGAACAGAATATATATAGTGGGTGGAGGATTAACAGTAGAGGATTAACAGTAACAACAATTGCATACATGAGTGGGATAACATTGGTAGGTGTTGACAACAAAAGGATGATGTTGTCACAACACGATGGACAGAGAACACATAGGTGGAAGCAAATAGGGACATGAAGCCAATAAATTGCGTGGATCGATGCTCATGATGTCAATCACTGAATTGTGTGGTCCAGACTCTATTATTTACAGACCGGTGTCATATAGCTGGAATATTGATGACTGCGGCGCTAAACAACAAACAAACAAAAGAACCTGTTATAGATGCATGATTGTTCCAATAAAAAGAAATCAGAATCTAAGCAAAATTATTACAAAAAGTTTTGGCAGCTAAATATTTATACACACAGCTCTTGGATGATTTCCTCACCCTTCAAGTAACAAGGAAGCTGATACATGCACTCCTATTAAAGTGATAAAACCCTTTTCATAATCATAAGAAATGTCCACTAAAAGAAAATCCATTGGACGATTCTGGATATATCAAGAGCATGTGTTTATCAATCCCTGGTGATGACACCAGGTGTTGACATCACAAACACATGCAAAGGCAAGTCAAATGTTTACCTGAAGAAAACATGGGAACACATGGTAAAAGTCAAAATTGGGAATTATATCAGACATCATTTTTGTCACTGATGCGTCAAATTTGGATATGTCTTCCACATGTCTCCCATAAAACATTTTGAAAGCTTCAGTAAGGCCTCGTAACACTTATCAAACAACTATTGAGCAAGAGTTGTGTGACGCGCTTTGAAATCTTGGTAGAAAGATCATGCTGGATTGTACCTTAAAAGTTGTAAAGTGTAAAGACAAAATATTTCATTGATGACAACTAATTTATTCAATTATGATGCAACGTTTCAGCATAGATCCATGCTTGACAGAGGCATAAGGATCTAAACTGATCTCTACCAAAACATAGCATTATAATAGAATAAAGAAGTTGTCATCCATAAATTGTGTCTACTTTGTCAATTGTGGGTCAGTTTAATGTAGAAAGCAGTATTGATGAATATATTGTATGGTATTTCAGTCATATAATTGTGTGTCAGTTTAATGTAGAAAGAAAGATACAGATCGAAGACAGTATCTTGTTACTCACCAACTTCTAAAGAAACCAATCAAACAATGTAAACAGCAAAGCCTGGATCGGCTGCAGAAGACATGTCTATTCATATGGCTTTTCTTTCATATCTATTTTAATCACAAAAAAGAAAAAGGAAAACAGTAATAAATAAGTTAATACATGTATATCAATCTGAATATTGGAATATATGGGCATAAAAATAGAAGATAAAATAGTGTTTTCAATGTAGAGCTAGGTTACCTGTAGATTTAATTGCACTCAATATATTTTGGAACCCAAAGCACAGCGTGTGGTTTCAGATGTAACGTTTAGTGTGGCTATAGGTACAGGTAACATAGTTCTACATTGAAAACACAGCATGTGTATCGCCATTCTACCATGACAAAATTAAACACAAACTCTTTGGTATTGGTAGTCTGTCTTACAGACCCTGATACAAATATATATCAAATACAGCCCATGCAAGTCTATAATGTTTGGCAAGTCTAGATCACTGCAGTATCTGAAAATGAAGAGAGTCACTGGGCTCCTTTTTATTATATTTTTATTAAGATAACTGAACAACTGTTTTTTTTATGTACGATATGTTCATTTCAGAGACTAGATTTTAGTCTATGGTATTGGCGAAGATATGGAGTACAGCAGCAGTGAATGAGTCCAGTGTTTTAGTAGGTTGTCGATGTGAATTAAGGTAACACTAACACTTGCCTATACAGTGTATATACAAAGTATGGCACTGTCTATGCTCTAGCAATGTTAACATCAGTATGCTTTAAATGATTATATTATGGGCATTGAAAGGTTTGCACCACTAAAGAAATTGAACCAAGTCTTGCAAGGTTTACCTCTACACCAAATATTGCAATACTTGTTTCGTTTTCTTTAGGTTTAGTTACTGTAAAGATCCGGCTTAGAATAGGTCTTCAGCAACCCATGCTTGCCGTAAAGGCGACTATGCTTGTCCTAAGAGGCGACTCATGGGATCGGGTGATCAGGCTCGCTGACTTGGTTGATGCATGTCCCAACTGCGTAGATCGATGCTCATGTCAATCACCGGATTGTCTGGTCCAGATTTAATTATTTACAGACCACCGTCATATAGCTGGAATATTGCTGAGTGTGGCCTTAAACAACAAACAACAAAGAAACTAGTTCTACACAACATATCATCTTAATTAAGTCACATTTTTTGGACTCATGAGATATGATGTCGGTCGGAATCAGAAGGCTCCAAATTTCAAGTCCCCAAAACTTGAAATACACTCTAACTTAATTTCTATCATGTTTGCTTTCTATCAACTATTGCCAGATACTTTGAATAATGGAGCAACCATGACTGTGTATTTCTAAAGCTATAATGGTACATGTCATTATTTCAAAACTGCCAAATAACAATGATTGAGAAGGAAGTTCTTTCTATAAATATAAGCTTCCTTAGTGAAGCGGCTGTCAAATCAGCTGTTTAAGTTTAGAGGTAGTTATTTCGATTTGAAATATGTGATTGACCATATTTTCCAAATTCATGGTAGAATACTGTATTTTTTGTGTCATGTATGTTCAATACTATATTTCTCATAATAACATTTAGATTCAATATTGTATTTCTTAAAATGACACTTAGGTTAAATACCATATTTCTTATATGCTGTCTGTGACTTTTCTTGCTAGTCCAAAGCCAGAATCTAGTAAAACTTTGTTTGGCTATTTCAAATAATGATATTTATGTTCTTTTCTGTATTTCTTCTGACATTGATGTTCAATACAATATTTCTCACAATGGCAATTTTGGTCATTACTGAATTTCTCATAATGACAATTATGTTCAATACTGAATTCCCATGACAATTATGTTTAATACTGAATTTCTCATGACAATTATGCTCAATACTGAATTTCTCATAATGACAATTACGGTATGTTCAATATTGTATTTCTTACAATAACATTCATGTTCAAAACTATATTTTTTATAATGATGTGTGTTCAATAATGTATTTCTAATAACAGGCATTATACTTTAAGCATCCAAGGGAAGGAGTGTGAATGATTGTATATATATCTTTCAAGCATGTTGGTAAGGAAGAGAAATCGGAGTGAATTGCTCATTGATGATCTATTCCTGAGCTGTGACTATATCGTTATGTGCACTGTGATTCCAAGATCAACACTCCTAAACTAGGCTATCACACCTGTATCACTTACAGGGTGTCGTAATTAGTAAATAAACTTCAGAAATCTTATCGCAAAGAAAAACAACTTTTCTTTCGTGTAAGTGCAAAGTTGGTTTCAGTTTCAAGCTTCAAAAACACAAAATGAAAACTTTTTTCAAACATGCAACAGCACCACAGCAATTGCAGGGGAATTAGGAACCGTGTGTTTGAAGACGGTGCCAGGCAAATGACCGTTACATTCCTGGAGATTATCACAGATATTTTAAGTAGGGATAATTGGGTTATTTGAGGAGTAATACCCAAACTCTCTCCAGGTACTAAGGAGAACTGACATCGATATGCAACTGGCATACTGCAGGTAAAAAACACGCATTCGCACCTTGAGCGAAGGAAAGGTTATACATGACTAATGATTTCATATTGTGTGTCTAAAGGTCGTAAATAAACTCAGTGTCACAAGCCATGTCCCTGATTTTGTTCAATTATCTACTTGAATGAGCCTGTGACTGCTCATATTTCTCATGGCAATGAAACAATAATTAGCCATTAGAATAATATTTACCATTTGTAACTGATATGTACAAAGCAGTAAATGATTTTGATTTGATTCCAAATCAATGTTTTCGCCCTATCCAATAAATGTTGTGACGACTATAACCCAGTTTGGTGCTTGTAGTTACTCCTTTGATTTTGTGGCTGTAGGTTTTCAGGAAGGTAATCAATGTGATCCGTTCCAAGCTTACTTGTAGCTGATTATAAGGTTACACTGGGAAACATGAAACTATTCGTGAAACTAATCTGACAGTTCTTTATTTAGTTTCATTTCTGAGGTTGTAACAGAATTATCGTTCATCTTTGGGTATATTACAGCGAAGAAAATCAAGCTGATATGATTTGGATTTGATCATTTTGTTAACAAAAGTTAAATGAGTTGTAGAGATTTGATTAAATAGTTGTTTAGGTTAAAGTTTCAATGAATTATCGAAATAATTGTCCCTATTTCTTTACATAGGAAACTGCAATGACCTGAAGCAGCTTTGACATTAGAGAATAGGGATATTCGTACTAACATGATGATCATAGTATATTGACTTGGGCTCTTTCTGGTTAGTAAAAATAATTCATTTGTTTTCACAGTCATATTAGTCATATTGTAATCTCAAAGGAACTTTTACATTATTTCATCAACGATTAACCCCAAAAAATCATGAGACAGTTGGTGACGACACATCTAGAAAATACTACAAGTTTAGACAGAAAGTGTTGAAAGGAGTGTATCAAGATTAGAAGACATAGTAAAATAAACAAGCATTCAGTGGCGGAACCAGAGCGGGGTCCTGGGGGTGGCCACCACCCCACCTTTTTTATATCTGATGACATTTTGTATGTGCATTTGCTTCCATGACAACATGATGATTTGGTTGTTACAGGAAAATTATCAATAATGGTTTACATATTGTGTTTGTGATTTTTTGGGTGGGAACCACCACCAGCCCACCCCACCCACTGAAGCCCCACTTTTTCTTAACATCCTAGATCTGCCCCTGCAAGTTTCTTAGCTAGCAGCTCATCTCGAACTGGTCTTGTGTCAAAGGTCTTCATTTTTTTTTATGTCTGAAGTAAAGTTTGACAAAAATACAAACTTGCATAGTGAATACATCATTGGGAAATCTGTACACATATTTTTTCTGTTTTTATCTTTTATCATCCAATGCATTAAATGAGTACCTTGATCAAGAAGTTCTTAACTCTCTCTTTCTCTCTCTCTTCTCTTTCTCTCTCTCTCTCTCTCTCTCTCTCTCTCTCTCTCTCCAGCCCTCTGGGTATAATTAAGTGACATCCTCAAATTGTCCCACTGTTACCATGTGTCGACTGGAAAGAAATGTCTTCATCACTGTGAATTTCAAGGGGGGGGAAAGAAACCTCAAAACTAGAAATATTTTTAATATTATTTGTAAATGTTCCAGTGAATCGTGGCCAAAAATCACTGGCAGAGTCTGACAGGGGAAGCTTCAGATTTCAATCTTTCCAGAACCTCTTAAATACATATTCTTGGCACTATTCATAATCTGTCAAATCTTTTAATGGAATATAGTAAAGCTGGCCGGATTGTAAAGGTCAGACCTAAATTAGAAACTTCTTGACATCACTTTGTGTACATGATATAATGGCGCTCTGCCAGTGCCCCAAATATTCCAGCAATTTCTACCACATTAACAAGAATTTTTTACTGAAGTTCCAAACAAGTTTTACCCTTTAGTTACATGTCAGAGATATGAGTTATTAAAATTGGGTTCAGGGTTTAAGGGAAAAAGCTAAATTGGATGCTTTAACGTTCCTGGTTGATATTTTCAGTACTTTCATGTGGTATAGTGACCAGGGAGGCATGTGAACAGATGTCTTTAAGATCTGTAAGCTGGGGTAGTGGATATAGTATACTTATAACATAAAAGCTCTCTCAGACCACCATCTGTTTCACTGACCATTTTAATGGCTCTTTGATCAGTGTGGTATCACTTTTGATTAATAAAGGGAGATAACTACTGCAACTCTTCATGGCAAGAGATCAATACTTTCGTGATCAGCGAAGTGCTTGAAATTGAAGCGCCCGGTTTCTATTGAATGGATCAGCTGCCTTAGCCTTTCTGTAAAGTACTTAGGCTAAGATGAACTTTAAAACTCAACAAACATGCAGTTCTAATTGAAATATCGTTACAAAAGTATCATCAGTTTGTTTCAAAAGCTTAAAAATATTAACTAATAATGAAACACATGTGCCCAGTTGGAATAGATCAGATGGCCATTTTGATGATTTTGTTTGTATACAATTCTAAATTGTATTGGATAAAAATATGAACATTTCTAAAGACAGAAAATCGCAGAAATTTAAAAACAAATCCTTTGTATTTCATTCGTAAGTGAATCAGTTTGCAACATTCATACTTATTGATAGCATTTTGAAATTGACCTTCACTGTCAACTCCTAATATTTCACATACACTCAGGAAAAGGATGTCATTCATGAAAGATAGTGAATCAAAGAAAATATTGACGTAATTTGACCACCAGAGATCCCAGTGTAAGATAATGTGATAAAAACACACACTCAGATCTTAACCTTTCCTTTTCTTTCGACTTGGCTCAAAAAATAAACATTTATGGAGTTTTGAAACGGATGTACATTACGGCTTTTATCTCGAGCAGGTGGCACCATACTGCAGGAAATGGGGTGAGTGAGAAGGGGCAATGGCAGCGATATTTACAAACTTTGCCGTACACACGTGGCGAAACAGTTTTCTTGCCAGGAAGAATCGAAGACGGACAAAAAAAGGCACAATTAAAATGAGTGTCCCTCTTGGGAAATGACGATGACATTACAAACCTCCCAAGTAGGAGATAACAGGATGAAAATGATGCCCTGGGCGATATGGAAGATAATGCATCCCCTTTGGGAGCAGGAGTTATGCCCCTTAGATACACTATCACGGTGTCTTCTTGTGATAAATGACATTTGTAGAAGAGACGGAGAACGAGTCTTTCCTGAATTATCACGAGGTGTACTGAAATGCGTGCAGTGCTAAATGCTAGCCGCACATGAAAATGTGGTTTGAATTTAGTAGGGAAATAACTCGTAGTGTCTTTGTTCCGGTGAGCATTTTTTTTATAATTTCCTGTTTTGGAAGGAATTCTCACAGGAGTTTATCATGAAATATGGTTATTAAGAACAACTATTTGACAGATTTAATTTAAAATTGAAAAACTTGGTGATTATTACAGCTTTGAAATCTCTTATTTATTTCATTATTTTATCAAAAGTATCTGCCCAAAAAATATTTTGATTGCCAAAGAGGTTTTAATGTTCGATTTTCTTCTCTTTCAAGTTTGAATAATTCCTTGCTTGCAAAAGTTTTGAAAAATTATCTCAAATATACACAGTTTGCGAATGCAAGGAAATAATAACAATAATTTAATGAGAATTATATTCTTTGCAATATTTTATCATCTGACAAATATGATATCAGAAATACGTTCAGAATACACTTACTGGGATTATCGTTTTCATTGAAATTAAAATATGATGAAGTTTCCCCGAAAAAAGAAATTTTCAATTTCATATTGCATGTAATTAAATTTTGAGAAAGAATACCTTTTCAGTAGGACTTGAGATTACTTTAGGAGATGATAACACTAGATATATATTCTCCATGTAATTAGCTCCGTGGCATTTCTGGGATAGAATCGGCTCCCAGGAAGTTTTGCTTGTGTCTTCGTGGATCGGACGGTCAGACTCCGTGGCTCTGTTGTACGTCAATGTACCCCGATGGTGTTGATTGATGCTCCTTGTATCAGCCTTGCTCCAAGGCTGTACTGAATTGAAAGCCATGAGTAAGTCTATCTTTATAATAGGCAAGTCTGGATAAGCGGACATTTTATGAGGACAACTTGTTCTTATTATTTATGTAATCGAGAATTTTTGTTTGAAAGTATTATTTATGCCTTAAGTCTGTCCTTGTATGGTTGATGGTTTGCTGTACATGTTTACCCTGTTGCACTTATATAGCGACGTGCATGCACGTGTGTGTGTGTGTGTGTGTGTGTGTGTGTGTGTGTGTGTCTGTGTGTGTCTGTGTCTGTGTCTGCCACTGCCAATTTTAAAGTGCAGGCCCACTGAGATACAATCTCAGTTTTAACATGAATACCCCACTCAGACACAGTATACTGACTCCGAGCCGACCAGTCCTTGTATTAGCCCCTTAATGCCGAGCTCCAGACAGGATAACAAGTACAGTCTTTTAACGTCCTTTGGTATGACGCGTCCAGGGATCAAACCGCGGACCTTTCGCTCTCCAGGCGGACGCTCTATCACTAGACCACGGAGGCGGTCGCTCTGGCTACACAGTTCACAAGGATGTCTCTTGCTTCTGACTTCCTTCATTGAAACAATGTCTGTCTTTTACGTCTGAGAATGTTTGAAAATGTCTAAATACTCGGTTTTCATGATACCATATGGTTGTAAGGCAGTGGCCAGTTGCCGCCCGTTGCTGCCAAATACGAATCAAAGAAGAATATAAATTCCTCTGAAAGACACCGCCTCTCATAACAGTGTCATAATACTCGGTAATTTACCTTTCTTTGGCAGAAACCATTCCTTGAAACAGACCTCCGCATTCCCTGATCAGCGCTGCCAATTTTCACTAACAGACCTTTATTACATTTCAATTCTGTCACACCAATACTTGTTCCGATACTCTTTTATGCTGCTGTTAACCTTTGATTAACATTTTAAGACCAAGAACTGTTTCTTCACGTTTATCAAATTATGGCGCTCTCATGGGACCTTCTGCCATTTGTACAGCGAATATCAGAAGCAGTAGGTCATGCGTCTACTAGACATATTTATGATCCCTTCCAACAAGGATGGTGCCCTTCGCAGCAAGGATGATGCCCCTTACAACGTAAATATGGCCCCTTGCGATATTACGGTTGCTCCTTAGCTGAAAGTCTCGAGATAATTAGACATTTGACCATATATCTGTATAAGGGGATAACTGGACGAAATAATTACATGAACAAGCACTAACTCTTATTACTAATTATATGTATCTGGGTGTTTCGGGACTTGTTATTGATTACTAAGAGAAAAACAATTTTGAAAATACACTCTTCAAAAAAAGAAACGCATAGGTGTTTTGAGAATTCCAATTAGATTTTATATCCCAGCAATCATCATAAAGACAATTCTTATGTTTGATTCCCGTTAATCATGTCATGTTTGGTGTGCATTGCGCGCAAACACATCTAAAAATGTTTTTGTAAACGTTTATCAGCAAAAATGCAAAGGATGCACGGAAATTGCTTTCAGAAAAAGTTTTCAGCACAATACACGTGCAAAGTGTTGGAAACAAGAGTAGAGACACTGACTAGAAAAAGACCGTACAAAATTCATCAGTTCATTACGAATTTTCTGACGTGAACGGAGGTCTAAAAATGCCAAGATTAACTGCAGCTGACCGAAATATCGCCAATGGACGTTTGGAAGCAGGGGAGTCCCAGTCTGCCGTTGCAAGACATATTCAACGTTCACCAAAGCACCATATCTCGACTATCGGATCGATATACCCGCACTAATTCGATTCAAGATCATCCCAGAAATGGAAGACCAAGAGTGACCACCCCCGCTGAGGATCGGTACATCCGGTTGCATCACCTTCAGAATAGATTTGCTACAGCAACGGACACTGCAGGACAAGTGCCTGGTATGCGAAGAATTTCCGACCAAACCATCCGAAATCGTCTGAAGGAAGTGGAAATTCGAGCGAGACGACCAAAAGTTGGACCTGCCTTCCGACGTCTACACCGTCGACGACGTGTCCGGTGGTGCAACAGAGTACAGGCATGGGATCTCAGGAACTGGCGACGCGTTTGGTTCAGCGATGAGTCACGTTTTCTTCTTCAACGACAGGATGGAAGACAACGTTTATACCGAACGTTTTACGCCGAACTGCGTTCGACAGGTGGACCGATTTGGTTGAGGGAGTGTCATGGTTTGGGGAGCCATATCCTACACGGGTAGATCACAGTTAGTGGTTGTCCAGGACAATCTTACAGCAAAACGATACATAGACCAAATTCTGCGTCCTCACGTCCTCCCAACTTTGGACCGCCAGAGGGAGCTGTTCCAACATGACAACGCTCGGCCCCACACATCACGTGCAGCAGTTAATTTCCTTGTTAATGAGAACATCAATGTCCTTCCATGGGCGTGCAAATCGCCTGATCTCAACCCGATTGAACATTT